AGTGCCTCTTTCAGGAGCTCTCGTAAAGCAGGCCTGGTGGTGAGAAAACCTCTGAGTACTTGCTTGTTTGCAAAGGATTTTATTTTTCCTTCACTTCTGAAGCTCAGTTTGGCTGGATATGAAATTCTGGGTTGAACGTTCTTTTCTTTAAGGATGTTGAATATTGGCCCCCACTCTCTCTGGCTTGTAGGGTTTCTGCCAAGAGATCTACTGTGAGTCTGATGGGCTTCCCTTTGTGGGTGACCTTTCTCTCTGGCTGCCCTTAGCATTTTCTCCTTCATTTCAACCCTGGCGAATCTGACCATTATGTGCCTTGGGGTTGCTCTTCTTATGGAATATCTTTGTGGTATTCTCTGTATTTCCTGGACTTGAATATTGGCCTGCCTTACTAGGTTGGGGAAATTTTCCTGGATAATATCCTGAAGAGTATTTTCCAGCTTGGATTCATTCTCTTTGTCACATTCAGGTACATTTATCAAATGTAAATTTGGTCTCTTCACATAGTCCCACATTTCTTGGAGACTTTGTTCATTTTTTTTGCACTTTTTTCTCTTATCTTGGCTTATCGTTTTATTTCATTGAGTTGATCTTCAACTTCTGATATTCTTTCTTCTGCTTGTTCAATTCGGCAGTTGAAACTTGTGCATGCTTCGCAAAGTTCTCATGTTGTGTTTTTCAGCTCCTTCAATTCACTCATATTCCTCTCTAGGTTGTCCATTCTTGTTATCATTTCCTCAAATCTTTTTTCAAGGTTCTTAGTTTCTTTGCATTGATTTAGGACATGTTCTTTTAGCTCATGGAAGTTTCTTATTATCCACCTTCTATAGTCTGATTCCGTCATTTCATCACACTCATTCTCCTTCCAGCTTTGTTCCCTTGCTGGTGAGGAGTTGTGGTCTCTTGTAGCAAGCGAGGTGTTCTGGTTTCAGGTGTTTTCCTCCTTTTTGCACTGGTTTCTTCCCATCTTTGTGGATTTATCCACCTGGCCTCCAAGTAGTTGCTGATTTTCTGATATGGTCTCTGAGTGGACATCCAGATTGTTGATGATGAAGTATTTCTGTTTCTTAGTTTTCCTTCTAACAGTCTGGCCCCTCTGCTGTAGGACTGCTTGAGGTCCACTCCAGGCCCTGCTTGCCTGGGGAACACCTGTAGCAGCTCGGAACCGTGAGGGTTGCTACCCATTTCTTTTGCTATCTTTGTCCCTGAATGATGCCCACCAAATGTCAGTCTGATCAATCCTTTATGAGGTGACTCTTTGGATATACAGGGGTCAGGGAGCTGCTTGAGGAGATTGTCTGTACTTTATAGGAACTCAAGTGCTGAGCTGTGAGCTCCGTTGTTCATTCAGGGCTCCTACGCAGGTACATTTAAGTCTCCTGCAGCAGAACTCATAAAGCCCCCTTTTTTTCCTCAGGTGCTCTGTCCCAGGGAGTTAGGGCTTTATTTATGAGTATTCGTTGCACTGTCCTGCCCAGCAAGGAGGCAGTCTAATCACTGCTTGCCTGTAGTGGCTATGCTGAGCTGCTGTGGGCTCCACCCTGTTGCCGTGGGCTCTGCCCTGTTGCTGTGGGCTCTGCCCTGCTGTCGTGGGCTCCGCCCTATTGCTGTGGGCTCCACCCTGCTGCAGTGTGTAATTCCCTGTAGTCCTGTTTATATGGGTGTGGTTAGAGCTGCCATGGTGATGATGGCCTGCCTCTGTAGTGGCGGACTCTCTCTGTTATGGCGGGTTGCCTTGGCACCGGCAGGCTGCATCAGCAATGGCAGTGTACCTCTGTAGGGGTCAAGTGCCTCGATAATGGTGGACGCCCCTCCCCCTCCAAGCTGCACCGTGCTGGGTTCAGCTGTGCTTGCTGTGAAACTCTTAACCCCAAGCGTTTCCAATTGCGGTTTTGTTTGTTTTTGTAGGGGTGGGACCCACTGAGCCTGATCTCCTGGCTCCCTGCCTCAGAGCCCCCTTTTTTTTTTAAGTTGAATGGTTGACTCTCTCCCAGGTGTTCCAGTCCCCTGCTGAAAGGGCGTCGGGATCTGTGTGATTTCCTGTGTAGCGACCCACTGCGCGGGCTGGAATCACGTCACTGCCCGGAAATCTCCTGGCCTGCCTTTCTGTTTAAGTCCTGTTTAATCAGATGAATGTTCTAATCTGCCTTCCGAAATCTCCAATTGCCAGTTTAACAGGGCAACCAAACCAGTGTGCTTTGTATGGAGTGCCGCTGCGCTGTGGCCCCGGCCCACACAGCCGTGCCGGCCAAACAGCCGGGCTGGCAGCCTGTGTGGCTCCTACACCTGGGAATCTCCTGGTCTGTGGGCAATAAAGATCTGCCTGGAAATGCGGCATCCACTCACCATCTGCAGATTCACTGGGAGCTGCAATCGTGAGTTGGTCCTACAGCACCATCTTCTCCTTTTTTCCCGGGGTACATTTTTATGACTAAGGCTAGAAAATGGCTTTTCTAAAAATGACTAAGGCTCAGTGAAGTAGATGGAGAGTCTTGGATTTAATATTGAACTTTCTTTTCTCTTAAAATGCAGTGTTTGCATATTTTAATGTGCCTCATTTTGTATTTCTTTGGTGAGTCTGTAGAGTGGATTGTTTGATCCTCCAGAAGCAGTTTTAGGTGTCATATTTTTAGGCATCACACACACACACAAAGAGAATGGGAATGAATAAATATTGAATTACTATATCCCTGTTCTCCCTTAAAAAACCCATATTTAATGCCATATCTTCTCGTCCAAAAAAGATTGTAGAGTTCTTTCTCTGACTAGACATTCTTTTTGTAGTATTTGAGAGTGACTCAAAAGGTTTTTTTTCTTTTCTCTTCATTTTGTAGCTTCATTACCTTGTTACTTGTGTTCTTTAAGGCATCATAAAGTAAATTATAATAACAGAGATTAATAAAAACTATATATAAATGAATCTCTGGTAGTTTTAACAGTGGTAATGCTTTTCATTCGTACAGTGCTTTAAACATTTCAAAACATTTTCATATTCATCTTTGCATTTGTTCTGTTTTTCTAAAAAAATATCTTCCCTATCAAATAATATTTTTATGATTGGTTGGGTGCGGTGGCTCATGCCTGTAATCCAAGCACTTTGGAAGGCTGAGGCGGGCAGATCACAAGGTCAAGAGGTCTAGACCAACCTAGCCAACATGATGAAACACCATATCTACTAAAAATAGAAAAATTAGCTGGTTGCAGTCCCAGCTACTTAGGAGGCGAGGCAGGAGGATCACTTGAACCTGGGAGGCAGCAGTTGCAGTGAACCGAGATTGCACCACTGCACCCCAGCCTGTCAACAGAGTGAAACTCCATCACACACAATATATATGTGTGTGTGTATATATATATATATATACACACACACATACACATACACACACATATATGTAAAAATGATTTTGTATATATATAAAATGACTAAGGATAGAAAGCCAGTATTACACTAAACAAGTCATCTGGTTCTAAGGGAATTTTCTTAAGTCCTCAAAGAGTGTCTTAATCAGAATAATGAAGGGTCATTAACTGCAGTTAATATGGTTTTCTGTCTGCTGAGCAGAGAAATATAGAAATTTAAAAAATGGATGTAACCCCTCCCTCTTGCATGTTTCATGTATTATACACCCCCTTCACTCACCTGTCTGGCTATTAAACTTTTTTTTTTTAATATAGTGCCCAACGGGATATAGTTTTAAGACGTCTCTTGAGAAAACCTAGCCAGAAAGCCTTGAACCTGATGCCATTGCTTTCTACAAATAATTTATGTAATGACTTTTCTGCATGAATTCTTCACATTTGCAATGAGAGATTTCAATAAAAATACACTTAGGAAATCATTCAAACTTTCTGGAGATTTAGGGAGGCTTTTACTTGCTTAGGAATATGACTTTTCCCACATAATCAAACATCGAAATGGGTCTTAAACAGGAAGTATTGCCTGTTAGAAAGAATTTTTATTTCCTGGTAAAAGACAAGAAGCCTTATTTAAAAAAAAAAAAACAAAAAAAAAACCTCTAAACCTAATGACTAACTTTTTTTTTTATTGTATAAAATACTTCCATTTCCATTACATCATTTGATCCCCACAGCAATCCTGTAAGGGAGGTAATTCTGTTTTCCTCATTTTATGTATAAGAAACCTCAATTCTGAAAGTGGTGGTTGGTCACACAGCTGGTAAATTGAGCTCAGTGTTGGACCGAAGTCTTGGGACACCAAATCTTATGCTTTTATTTATTCCACATGACCTCTTCATAGGCTTGACTCTTGATTTTCCTGGCCAATAAATGATGGAGTAGGAAACCAGGAAGAGAATGAGAGAACGTTATAGTCCTAAGGGTGTTGGGTAAGACCCTCTATTTCCATATCAGCTTAGAGAGGCTAAGGGATTTCTCCCAGGTCACTTTCTAATTAGTGACTGAGCTGGAATGAGAACCTTGATAATGACATCAAATACATGAATTGCATGTGTCTTTTGAATCTACATGCCTCTCATAAAATGCCTGAAAATGTCTCATGGAACCTTAGGCATCTTTGAACACAACTTGAATTAGAGCATTCTTGGAGAGCTATCTGAGATGGCTTTTATCTCTAGTATTTTGTAAATGCTCAGAAATGCTTATTGATTGTAGTAAAATGTTAACTCCTGATACATCATACTAAAGCAATACTTAGAAAAAAGGTTGCTTTCAGGGCTATTAGTTTCTCAATGATGGAAATAACAGAGATACTCAAATGCTCAAATGTGAATGTGAGATCATTCAAAGATGGATGATCAGACTTTGATACAGCATTAATTTAGGTTTCACCTGTGGTTCAGTTCCATCTATTTGTCTGAATCAACACACAGTTCAAAGAGAAAAATTATTCAAATGATATGATATTAAGACTTTTCAATCTTAAAAGATATAATGTTCATATCATTACAGGTCATAATAACATGGTCATAGTTCAAGCCATAATTTCACCATTTTATATCCATTTGTTGTCTTCACATTTGCAGATTTACTCCATAGACGAAGATGAAAAATTAATACCTAGCTTGGAAATTATTGTACCACGTGATTTGGCAGATGGGTTTGTGAATAATAAGCGAGAAAGCTATAAATTTAAGTAAGTTTGTCTTTCTCCTTTTTCATTTCTGTTTCATTATTGAACTAATTCTTGTACTGTGTTAATATTAATGTGAAATAATTAGCACTATTTCTTGTGGAAAATGCAACGCAGCTGTCTGTCTCACCTAGTAGATTGAACTCAAGTTGTTTTTTCCCTGCTGTGGCCAAGGTCAAAAAGAGTGTATATTTCTGTATCTGAGATTGTATTTCAAGATTCCAGCCTTTCTTGACTATCTCTGTTTATCTAGTGTTTTCCTACTCAACACACTGTGGTTTAGCACTTACAGAGAATTCCAATACATGACTAAACTTCACTGAAGGTAAGAACTGACAGTATCATCTGTGTGCTATGTAGGGGCTTTCCTTCTTTATAATATATATGATATTTGGACCTCATATGCACATATGTACACTCTATATATCTATGCTGTCCGATATAATAGCCACAAGCCACATGTGGTTCTTGAACACTTGAAATATGTCCAACCCGAACTGAGATGTGCTGTCAAGTATAAAACATATGAAAGATTTTTGAAGACTTAGTATGAAGAAAAAAGAATGTAAAATATCTCAAGACATTTTTCATATTGATTACTTACTGAAATTACAACATTTTGGTATATGAAACTTTTAACCTTGGTTAAAAGTAGATTGTTAAAATTAATTCCAGCTGCTTCATTTTGCTTCTTAAGTTTTTCTTTATTTAATTTTAATTTTTTTTTTTTTTTTTTTTTGAGACAGAGTTTCACTCTTGTTACCCAGGCTGGAGTGCAGTGGTGCAGTCTCGGCTCACCACAACCTCTGCCTCCTGGGTTCAGGCAATTCTCCTGCCTCAGCCTCCTGTTATTTTAAATTTTAAAGATGGGGTCCCACTCTTGTCTCCCAGGCTGGAGTGCAGTAGTGCAGTCATAGTTCACTGCAGCTTTGGGCTCCTGGCCTCCAGTGATCCTCCCACCTTAGCCTCCTTGATAGCTTGAACTACAGGTATACGCCACCATGCCCAACGAATCTTTTTGCTTTTTAAAAAACATGGCTACTAGAAAATTTTAAATTACATATGCTTTCACATTTATGGATGCCATGATATTTCTCTTGGGTAGTGCTAAACTATAATGGCTCAGTTGAAAAATACCAAACAGCTACCCTTGGATGGTCATCAGTGCCTTGGGTCTGAATACTCTTTTAGTAGCTAGGCCTTGAATGTAGGGAGTATAGCTACTTCACATTCTTTTTATTCTCCAGTTTCAGATTAATCTATTTCTTTTAATCTCCACTTTTGATTTCTGGAGAAGTTTGAGCCCAAATTAAATCCATCTTTGATCTCTGGCCCAAACTTTGGTGATGGATATCTGGATCCTCTGAAATAGTTCTAATTGTTCTCTTCAGTGCATCTCTAGATTGTTTTACAAGGGCCCTGTTTTGAGACTATTCCTGCCTTTGGCCTTTGCATAAAATTATCTCAGATTTTTTTGTTGTTCCTCTCTCTCTTTCTATCATTTTCCTTTTAAATTCTTTTTTTTTTTTTTGAGATGGAGTCTTGCTCTGTTGCCCAGGCTGGAGTGCAGTGGCACAATCTGGGCTCACTGCAACCTCTGCCTCCTGGGTTCAAGCAATTCTCTTGCCTCAGCCTCCCAAGTAACTGGGATTGCAGACACCTGACACCATACCCAACTAATTTTTCTATTTTTAGTAGTGATGGGGTTTCGCCATATGGGCCAGGCTGGTCTCAAACTTCTGACCTCAAGTGATTCACCTGCCTCGGCCTCTCAAAGTGTTGGGATTACAAGCATGAGCTGCTGTGTCTGGACTTTTTCTTTTTAAATTCTTATTTGCTTTTATGTTATCTCATAAAGAATTCTTGCTGGTCTTCATAACTGTCTTTTGTCTTTCATTATAATATACATCTCTCCCTCCACTTCCACCTCATTTTCTTATTGTCTTCTTTTAGAGTAAGTACAAGCAGGGCTTGCTAACCTATTTTTGCCTAGTGGGGAGGTCCTCAACTTGTCTTTTTGTCTCCCCATTGCCTTTCATTATATCCTTTAAGGAACAGCCCTATAACCTGTGCTTCTTTTTTCTTTTTCTTTTTTTTGAGACAGGATCTTACTCTGTCACCCAGGCTGGAGTGCAGTGGTATAATCTCAGCTCACTGCAGCCCTGACCTCCCGGGTTCAGGTGATTCTCCCACCTCAGCCTGCCAAGTAGCAAGACTATAGGTGCGCACTACCATGTCCAGCTAATTTTTTTTTTTTTTTTTTTTTTTTGGTGGAGACTGGGTTTTACCATGTTGCCCAAGCTGGTCTTGAACTCCTGGAATCAAGTGATCTGGCCCTCCTTGGCCTCCCAAAGTTCTGGGATTATAGGTGTTAGCTGTTACTCCTGGCCCCTGCTTTGCTTTTTCTGAAGGGGACATTCTCCCACTGATGTAAGCATGCTACATACCTTCATAATTATGACTTGATGCCAGCTGGCCTAGGCCAAAATCTATTATATGAAACAACAGTTTGCTGAAATATTTTATTCAGCATGATTCCATTTGATTGATAAGAACAATGTATTATGTTTCTATCTGTGGATCCTTTCCAAAGTATTCTTTATATTATATAGATACAGAGTGCAATTGTTGAAAAAGCACCATTGGCTTATTTTTAAACTTCTGAATTAAAAATATTGGTTTTAATATTCAAAATTAAAAATTAATATTCAGCTTACACATATGTTCAGAGATAAATATTTAAGCATTTTAAAAGCTGTTTTTCCCCCAAGAACATTTATTCAACCAATAAATAATTATTGGCTACCCACTGTGTGCTGTTTTAATTGCTAGGAATAACATCGGGGAACACAACAAAGCTCCTGCTTGTAGGGAGCTTACATTTTAGTGAGAGGAGATAAAGGAGAAGATCAATAAGCAAAATGTATGTCAGAAGGTGCTACATGCCATGGAGAAAAGTGTGACAGAGAAGGGGAATGAGAAGTGCTGGGATGAGGAGAGCAAAGGAAAGGAATGGTTGCAACAATATTAGGTTAGGAAAGGCGTACAATAAAGGAACATTTGGGCAAAGACTTGATGGAGGTGTGGAAGCCAGCCATTCAGGTGTCTGAGGGATGAGACTTTCAGGCCAAGGGAATAGCAAGAGTGAAACTCCTAATGAGGAGAATGCCCAGCATGTTTGAGGAAAAGTGAAAAGATCTATGTGGCTGGAGTAGAGTAAACAAGAGGTAGAGGGGAGAAGGATGGGCCAAAGAGGCAGTAGAGTGGCCAGATTACATGGAGCCTTATAAGTCATTGAGAGGACTTGTGGTTTTCCCCAAAGTGCCATGAGAATTTTTGGAGGGTTTTGAGCAGAAGAATGAAAGTATCTCAGTTATGTTTTAGCAGGATTACTCTTGTAGACATGTGGAAAAGAGGGAAAAGGAGACTAGTTAGGCTATTGCAAGAGAGACCAGGCAGGAAATTATGGTAGCATGGACCAAAGTGTTAACAATGGAAATGTTGAGAAATAATTGAACTCTGGATGTATTTGGAAGGTTCTCAGCTGATAGCATTTGCTGATGGACTGGATATAGAGTGTAGTAGAAACAGAGGAATCAAGAAGATCCTGAGGGTTTTGGACTGAACATTTAGAAGGATAGAGCTGTTACTTTCTGGGGTGAGGAAGAGCACAGGAAGTGCACCATTCCTTAGGGTGGGAAGAAGTCAGCATATGCTGAGTTTGAAATAGAGTTTAGAAATAGCCTACACAATTTCCTAACATGAAAAGACCATCTAAGAATCAGGAAAGCTCAGTTATGTCTCAAGGCATATTATTGATGAGCTCTAAGACTATGAGTAATTACTTTATCTCGGTGGATCTTAGCTTCTTCCTCTGTTAATGATTAGACTGAACCCGTTAAAATCCCTTCTAACCCTGGGATTCTATTCTGCTCTTCAGTGGTTTTCAGAAGACAGCCGATCAAAATGCCTTTTCAGATTACTATACAACTATATTGTATAAAATGCAATATTTGGGGATGATGACATTTGATGTTTAATATACAATTGGTTTATTATAAACTCTGGCGCTAAAATCTTTATTCTAAAATGTGGGGGGGTGTCAATAAAAAGAGATCTGGATTGCTTGTGTTTCTACCACCTATTATTTTAAATAGTGGAGGATGTCATTTTTCTCCAAGGAATTTAATATGCTTTATAGATGTTATAATAAAATTATATTTTAGTTTAATTTAAATCTTGTTGGAAGTGACTGGTACATGGTAGGCCCTCAGTATGTGTTTGTGGAATGAAAGATCAATTAGAAATGAAAATGCTATAATTAATTTATGCAAGGTACCTTTCAGAAGATATCCTGCATGTGATTTGCTGCCTTCTTTAAAACTTCTGCCATCTCTTTTATTTACATGGTAGTGGATATAACTACTCTTTTTTAAGGAAGTGGGGTAGAAAGTGGCTAATTGATTCACTCAGTCATCACTAGCTGATAAAAGAAGTGAAACAGCCTTATCATCATTCTCCTCAAAAGCTGAGAATGTGTGCTCAGACCTCATACTACACAGTGCTCTGAAGAGCAGTTCAGCAGCTATGTGTTATGTTGACCTCTGTGTTATGCTGGTATTCTTATCTGAAGCTGTGATACATCTATAGAGTTTTGAGAAGCAGTCTGGGTACACTAAACAGTAAATATTACTGTCTAATATACAATCTTCCCTGATAAATGACATACTAGCCAGAGTGCCTTAGATTATTGCTTTGTATAGTTCATTCTTTGCTTCTCTAAAATGGAGGTAGGGAAGCTGTAGAGATCTTTTGAAGTTAATGTTGGTTAAAGATGATGAATTTCATTCCATTTTATATTTCCAGTTCAGCTTTCGACATCCTTTTGAACTCTCCAGTGGTCTTACATTTCACTTACAATCTCTAATTGACCATGTGCTGAGTTTACTTCTTTAAAACTTGTAAACCAAAGGTTCCTAAGCCACTCTGAAAGTTGCTTAGGATAACCTCAAAATGTTTGCTTAAAGTGTTTGTTTTAAAATTTCCACCTCAATTTTTATTTTGAAAACTTGGAAAAGTTTATTTTGAAAAGTTGGAAAAATGACCCAGTCGACACACATATACTCTTTGTGGGAGATTCACCTTGCATTAATATTTGGGCCAATTTGCTTTCTCTCTGTCTCTGTCTTTCTTTTATTATAATGCGGTTTTTTTTTAAGGATAAAATCAATTTTAATTCACATAATTTAAAAAGTACACACACTATATCATTAAAGGAAAGAAGTGGAAATGCTATCATATTATCATGTTTTAATGGGGGCCATACTTGTTGGTCACAACTTAGCACACTGTAAAAGAGTAGATTCTGGGCGGGGTGCGGTGGTTCATGCCTGTAATCCCAGCACTTTGAGAGGCTGAGGTGGGTGGATCACATGAGGCCAAGAGTTCAAGAGCAGCCTGGCCAACATGATGAAACCCTATCTCTACTAAAAATATAAAAATTAGCCGGATATGGTGGCGCATGCCTGTAATCCTTGCTACTCATGAGGCTGAGGCAAGAGAATCAATTGAACTCAGGAGGTGGAGGTTGCAGTGAGCACCACTGTTCTCCAGCCTAGGTGACAGAGGGAGACTCCCTTTGGAAAAGAAAATAGATTCTGTGTCTTCTACCCTGAGTATTCCACTGTACTTGGAATCCAGTATGAGCTAAGTCACAGTAGCACTGCAAGAAGAGTGAAATTGACACCGTACCTCCACCCCCTTCCCCTAGCCATTGCCAATCTAGTTAAACCTTCTCTTTGCAGGATAGGTCTATCTTAACTTACTTTTTGACTTTTGACTCATGGTCAACAAAATGAAACAAAACTGTCCTGAGAATTAAATGGTTGATGCTAGGATATAGCACCAAATTCGTGGAAAAATAAACTTTAGTTCAAAAATATTAAAACCAAATTCGATAGTCATACAATTCACAGTTGCATTCTTTTCTCATAGGTCAGACATCAGAAGTTCCTTGGCTGTTTACATCCTGTTCTTGGATTTCCATTTCATGCAGCTATCTAGTTTTGAATTTCTTGCCAATTATAGACACTGTCCCTCTTGAGAGCTAAAAAGCACACAATTTGTTATTTGGTTCAAAGCTGCTGCAGTTTTTCAGAGGGATTTATTGTGCAGATCTTGTCAAAGCAATACTGTTTACCCACCATTTGTATACAGGCATACAACAGCACACTGTGGTTGAGACTACAGGGCAAACATTGTGCTAAGTTAGGTAAGCCCAGTGATGTAAATATGGGGGAATTTATAAAGCTTTTAGAAAAACAAGATTTATTAATCTGACAGTGTTTGGAGGCTCAACTTTTAAATAATTATTATTTTTCGCATTGCAGATTTCAAAGAATTTTTGATCAGGATGCAAACCAAGAGACCATTTTTGAAAACATTGCCAAACCAGTTGCTGAGAGGTAGGATTTTCCGTATTTTGTTCAGTGGGCTAGTGGTTTTTCATGTTGTCTTCAATTCTCAGCTAATTGTGGCAACATGCTTAAGTATATCAATTACATACTTAGGCTGTAGGACATGTAATGATGATAGCATTAATACCTTCTGTTCATGTAACCATTTGTTTTAGATTTAGATTCTGAGTCTCAAAACGAAACAAAACAAAATGAAACCATGAGGTAGACTAGCTTTTGTTACTTCTATCTGCAAAGATATATAAACTGAGAATCACAGGAATCAAGTGATACTACTCAGGGTTGCATGGGTAGTGGTGGCAGAGTCCCAGATGATTTTCTGACCATGAAGCTCAGTGTTCTTTCCTCAGTACAGTACTTCAGACATATGGTTAGGCGGACAAAGGATAAGGTACGGGTGGCACCTGGGAGGCTGCCAAATGATGGTTGTCATGCTCTACCTCAGTGTCATTTCAAAGCTTGGCTCTTTGCTTTAATACATCCAGATAATTCCAGGCTGCTGACTACTAGAGCCAGACTCACATGAGAGTACCAAATAGACCAGAATGCCAATTTATTAATATGTACTGGCAGTCTCCTAGGAACGAGACACTCAAGCCCTTTGATAAGCACACCGTCCTCTTACAGGGAATCTATATGGAAATCTACTGCTAATAAGCTTGCTTTCTGATCTGAAATCATTTGGATATGTTAATGACCTAATGATAATCCCAAGAGGTATTTATCTTTACAGTTAAATAATGCAGAAATATATCTGCTAAATGAGCCCAATTTTCAAGTCTACTCATCAGTACACCCTTTTTAGTGAACATTGCTGGCAACACAGTGCCACATTTTGTCTTTCAAACTCCTGTTTTATGAATCCTGTGCAAACCATGCCCTTCTCCTTTTAATACAGTCTTCCTTCATTAGGTAACTTACAATCAAGTAGGCTTAAACTATTTTAGAGTTGTAATCACAACCCAATAACACTTCTTTAGATGAAATTCAGGTTGCCTTGATTAGATGTCAAACATTTCTGAAATTCCCTTCTTTTTAGCAATCATTTGGGTTCTGTCATTTTTCAGATAGCTAGTTTCATGCATTTTATTTTTACACTTCCTAACATCATTCAGGAAGGGCACCTTAAGTTTCTTTCTCATAGATGCCTGGGTTTTCCTCCCACTGTCAAGTCTCTCATCTTGACCCCACTTTCTCCTCCAGTTACTGCCCTCTTCTTCAGCTTTCCTTTATAGAAAATATATTTGAAATGATCTACTATATTCAGTACTTCAGTCCCTCTTCTAAAGCCTGTTCTTATGTTTTGGCCTCCACTGCATCACTGAAATTGTTTTTGTCAAAGTCAGTCATGACTTCTAGTTGCTAAATTTAATAAGGATTCTTTCTCAGTCCTCATGCTGCTGTCTGCCATTTTGACACAGTCGATTACTCTGTCCTCTTCCAGATATTTTCTTCACTTATCACACTCTCCTGGTTCTCCATTATTTCTCAGTTAATTTATGCGGTTTTAATCGTATGCAGTGCCCATTTTCTTTGCTGTTCCCTCCGCCTGGAATTCTCTTGCCTCAGAAATCTGCATGGTTTCTCCCTCAGCGACTTGAAATCTTTGCACGTGGCAGGTTTCTCAGTACGGCCTTCCTGTACTACTTTATTTAAAATTGTACCTCCATTACCCTTCCCTGTTTTTTATTTCTTTTAGCACATATCACCATCCAGTGTATTATATAGTTTAATTCTATATTGGTTTTTGTGTCTCTTTGCCTCCACTAAAACAAAGCTCCATGAAGGCAGAGGCTTCATTCTGTTCACCGATGTGACAAACTCCATGATAATAAGATTTCAAAAATGACAGGCAAAAGCACTTTTATCCAAGCAGCTCAAGTTGGACCTAGTGGGTCTTATCTTTTATCAATAGGAAATATTCCTCTTTGTCCTTTTTATTACTTTTCTCCTTGTATTCCTTTTTTTCTTTCCTAAAATTAGTCCTGCTATTTTTTTCTGTCAGCCTTTCTGTCTTGATTATCTTTTTTATCTTTCTCCTCCTCCTACTTCAACTGCCTTGTGACATTTTGTTTTAAGAATGGGCCTGATAAATAACATATAGCTGCTTTTGCCTTTTTAGCTAAACCACAGTTCCTGATCTTTAATTAGTTACTTTAACCAGTTTATCTTTATCATGATTACCATAATTTGGAGCTACTCCTCCTATGTTATTTTGTTTTTCCTCTTTATTATACTTCCTGATTTTTTTCCTTTCTTTCTTTTTGTTGGTTCAACTGTTGTTACTGCCTCCATTTTCTTTCTCAAGTTGTACATTGTACTTCAGCAGCGCTAATGTATATTCAGATATTTAAATATTTGTATTTTTCTCAATATCAAAAACTTTTCTCTGTCTCCCTCTTTCTCTGTTTTCGCTCTAGTCAACAATGATAGAATACTTTTACCTTGCCTCCCACACCTCTACAACTTCTACTGTGGAGATCAACTGATATTTCTGTCTAAATAGTTATTAATAATTTTTCTTAACATTTATTTAAATTATCTCAAAGTTATACCTATTTCTTTGCCTATCACTGTTTCTTGTATTCGTGTCTAGTTCTTAGATTCCTTTTGGTAGTCATCCTCTAAAAACCTGTTAGAAAGAATTCAGGACTGAGGAGCTTTCTGAAGTCTTTCCTTTCCCATCACAGTTAAAATGAGCCCAGGAGTTCAAGGCCAGCCTGGGCAACATAGTGAGATTTTGTCTCTATAAATAATTTAAAAAATCAGCTGGGCATGGTAGTACATGCCTATAGTTCCAACTACTCAGGAGGTTCAGGTTGGAGGATCACTTAAGCCCAGCAGGTTATAAGCCCTGCTATACCCGGCCATCTGACTGGGTGTAGCATTCTACATTAACAGTTTTCTCTCAAAACTGTGAAGATATTGCATCATTGTCTTTTGCATACAGGGTTGTTGAAAATATGTCCATGCCAATCTGATTTTTAGTTTTTAGACATACCTTTTCTTTACTTTCCAGGTGTTTTTAGGATTTTCTTCTTTTTTTTGTTTTTATGAAATTTGATTTTAATGAGTCTAGATATGGATTTTTTTCCATGTATTCTAATCTCTCAGTCAGCTGTTTCAATCTGAAAACACATATTCAAGTTCAAGGGTCATTACATGGATCATTTCTCTGATCTCATTTTATTTTATTAAAGTGATCGTTTGATTTATTTGTTGGTTTGTTTAATTTTTAGTTTTGAGACATAATCTCACTCTGTTGCCCAGGCTGGAATGCAGTGGTATGATCACAGCTCACTGCAGCCTTGACCTGCTGGACTTAAATGATCCTCCCCGCCTCAAGGCCTCCCAAGTAGTTGAAATTACACATGCACACTACCACATCCGACTAATTTTTTAAATTTGTTATAAAGATGGGGTTTCACTATGTTGCCCAGACTGGTCTCAAACTCCTGGGATCAGGCGATCCTCATGCCTTGGCCTCCCAAAGTACTAGGATTCCATGCATGAGCCACTGTGTCCAGCCAAAAAACTAATTTTCTTACTTCCAACATGTCTATTTTTTCTTTCTGGACCTTGCAGTCCTAGCCTTCAAATATCACAACTTCCCATAGTTCTCGTCTCTTTGCCCTGTGGTTCTGAGTTCTTCAAGAATTTGTCAGCACAGACTTCCAGTATGGTCATTTTCTTTCTAATCATGTGAATTCTGCTTTATCCCTCCAAATTTTTTTATTGTTACTATTTTATTTTTCATTTCTAGGAAATGAAAAAGTCTATTCCTGCTTGTGGATGTGTTATCCTCCCTTTCCCTCTGAAGATAATTATTATTTTCGTTTGAAACATCGTTTTCTTTTTTTCTGTCTTTTTTTTTCTTCTGATGAGTTTGGTGCCCTGCTTTCCTGGTGCAGATTTCCCTCAGATATTGGTGATTCTTGGTGGTGGGCTCATCCCTGTCATTTGAGAATACTGTTTTCTGTTTGAGCTTGCCATTTCTGTTCACTATGTCCCTTGTGTCTATGGGGAAGGGATGGCGTTTAATGAGGGCATGGTGTGCTTATCTGCTAGAGCTGAGGCCCTCTTTTTTACCGTGGTTCTAGGAGTCTCTTACTGTCCCTGATCCAAGCTTCTACTCTGCAGAAACATGTACTGCAACAGTGAATAGACAGATGGGGGCAGATTCACATTTTCCTTTCATTCTTCTCTGCAGGAGAGGGTTATTAAGCAAATTGACTTACTTAAGAGCCTGGGGAGGAAATCACTTTTTTCATTGACTTTAAATATACTATATTCAGGATGTTCATATTTTATGCAGATTTAAGTTGTGTGACTTTGAAATGGTAAAACATAAAATACTAATAAAATAGAGTGTCATTTATGCACAATATTTAAAGTTAAATATCCCCATATGTTGAAAATCAAATTTTTAAGAATTACATAATTTGGCAGGCCTTTCAATGGAGACTGTACCACTTTAGATATTAAACAGAAATGTCTGCTATTCCTAGTGAAGATTAGCCTTCAGGAACACATTCCCAACATAAAATCTGACCACTTTAAACAAGCTCTTTAAAGTTATTCTACTGGGTTAACACATTGTAGCTTAATTCTGGTTACCATATGCAATTAAGGCTAAATAAAACTAATCATATTTCTTTCCAAAATTCTGTAATTAAAAAATCTCACCAATTTAGACATCTTTTTCTACATAGTCCAAACCAGTGATATTATGTGCATGACTGGATAGCAGGGGTCCCCAAACCTGCAGGCCATGCCCCAGTACCAGTCTGTGGTCTGTTAGGAACCAGGCTGCACAGCAGGAGGTGAGTGGTAGGCAAGGGAGCATTACCACCAGAGCTCCATCTCCTGTTAGATCAGCTGTGGCTTTAGATTCTCATAGCAGCACGAACCATATTGTGAACTGTGCATGCGAACAATCGAGGTTACACGTTCTTTCTCAGGATCTAACTAATGCCTGATGATCTGAG